ACATTTTCACACACTGCTCTTTTCAATAGTCATACATAGAACACATAGAGTTTGTACAGTTTTTAGCTAAACTCCAGCAGGTGGATTGCATCAGGAGTCAGTGCTGGAGTGACACGTGTTCCTCAGGCAGTGATTGTAAGACGGCATATCACACACTGTCACTGTTTTAACTGTTAAAAACTTAAAAAGTACAGGTTTTCAAGTCCAGTATGTCTCCCATATATTGTCAAAGTATATTTACATACTCTCTTACATTTCATGACCTAAACTAATGTCTTTATGTTTTGTTTTCTGTACTTTTAACCTTGTTTTCTTTCTGTACTTGTCTTGTGCACACTTGAGACTTTTGCGTTTGTATTGCAATGTGTTTTTACTGCAAATGAAATGAATACAAGTCTGAATACTTTTGTCCATAAAGTGAATCATATCTTAACCATATTAGAATAAAAAGCATTGATTTTGTGTACACCCTTTCTGACGTTGTGCTGCTGCTTTGACGTAGACCCCACCAGAGCCAAATCCATTCTGTTTTCTCCCACACATCGACACCTTTAAGATGCATTTGAATTAGGTACGCTGATGGATTACCCTGGTAAATGTGTGGAGATTATAGTTCCTAAGTGGAAGCCTCCAGACACCGGCAGACGGTCCACGGAGAACCTTTAGAGCCTGCTCCCCTGTGACGGAGCCGGAGTGCGGATAAGCTGCAGGAAATGAAGGAATAAATCACTCTATGACCTGTTTTAGGGCTATTATCAGAGCCTGGCCGGAGGTATAGAAGGTGTAGGCAAAGATATGGCACAGAGCGCGTCGACCGTCTCCGGGATGGAAGCTGATAGCAGAGGAACGCGGAGAATCCATGACCTGGAGATTCAGCCGTTATCGTGGGTCCATCAATACTTTGACTCAACTTGGACGTGGACAAAATGGTGGTTTTTTGGAGTTTCTGTGATGGCTGTTTGTTTCTGTAGGGCAACATGTCGAGGCAAGGCAAGGGATGTGTATTTGTACAGCACTAGATCATACACAAGGCAGTTAATATCACATTCAAATAAAAACTAATCGCAGTATGTTAAAAAGAAAGATGAAAACATGTAAAATCCTTCAGTTGTTGTAGCTAACTGTAGCATAATTGTTTTAAACCTAGATTTAAACATATGTCTTTATCCTCTGCTTTTGACCCACATTTCGAAGCCAACCTGGGAAAACAGTCCCAAGAAGCAAAAACCAAAGTTTACAAGAATGATCTGTGAACCCGAATCATCCATCAATTTTATCTCCTTCTTTCATCCAAGAGGAAAGAGTTTTATCCAAGGATCTATCACAAAAACAGAAAAGTATGTTAGTTTTAGCCAGTCTCAAGTATGGACTGTCGCTAATTCTCAAACCTTGGTGGTGCTAGGTTGTTGCGCAAAGGATCATGGGAGATATTTGTTATTTATATATAGGTATATATATATAATACGTCTTATATCACTGTCACTTTGTTTAATTACAGGTATAAACCTTAAAAACACTGTCACAATACCGAGAGAAAAAAAACACATTAAAAAACATTCAATAAAATCTAAATATTGTTGGCAGAACATCTTGGGTTTGAGCCCACCTCGAGACCGTCTCTACTGATGATGTCTACTGTTGTAGTGTCCTTGGGCAAGACACTTAACCCCACTTTGCCTGAAGCCCCCGCTGAAAGATCAAGGCTGTGCCATAGAGTGGCCATCCCCCGACCCGGAAATGGATTAAGGGGAATAAAATGGATGGATACATCTAAAAATATGTCTTTTTCCCGTTTGCAAATCTAGTTTTAACACAGTCAGACTGTTCTCAGACTAAGATGAAAAACACTCCATTCACTTTATTCTTGTATCGCCCTCAATCACAACAGCATCATCTCAGAGGACTTTTCAAAACCATTGAAATTGTCAACGCAGATCAGAAAATCATTTCATTCATTTTTCATGTATTCATTTATTTCAAACTTGCAGGTGTATACAAACAGGAAAACAAAAATATAAAGTCTGTTTGGTTTGAAAGGGGGATGATAGAAGCTTACGCTTGTATAAAACCACTCCCCACACAGTCCACCTGCAGACAAGTCATTTTCACCAATGATTACAACACAAGACATTGAACATTCAACACAACACACACACACACACAGGCCCAACACTCTCCGACCCCACACCCTTCTCCTACTGTCACAATTACATAAAGGATCATGTTCTCTCCTCCAGGTACTTTTCCATCACAAAACTGTGACAAATTAAAACAGTTTTTCAGGTCCTCAGTGAGTCCATTCCACAGACTCACTCCTCTCACAGAAACACACACAGACTTAAGTGTTGTTCTGACTCGTGGTTGGTGTAATCTGTGGACTCTTCTCAAACTCACTCGGAGCTGAGTGTCTCTATCACAAAAAAGATTCTGGATAGTTGCTGGAAGAGAGTGTTTTGATACCTTGAACATAACAGTTTTATAATTGAACAAGTCCTCTCATTTTAAATCTCTGTTCTTAAGAAAAAGACTTACAATGAACACATCAGCAGTTAAAGCATTTCTCATATTTTACTATTTTTTGCAGTTAGAACCAGTCCTTAACCCTTTTCAAATTGCCCGAGTTTCACCTGCAGTCACAACACCCCTGCACGTGATGTGCTAAACAAATAAAACGCCTTCATCTCTTTGTCTTTTTAAAACGTCCAAAACCAAAGCCACAAACCCTGTCCCTGCTGCAGATGTGGAGACAGAGCAGGAGCACATCTGTCTTCTCTTTCCTCTCCTTTTCTCTTGAACCCCACAGTCGCGTGACCTTCTGGACCTCGGCTCATGATGGATTTGTTCTAACCGCCGTTTTAATATGAATATTTGTCTCCGGGAGCGTCTGGAGTCACAGGGCATCGCTTCAACACCTAATGGGCCCAAATAAAAGGGCGCACGGAGGGAAAGGCACAGCACTAATCACTCCATTATCATTGAGCAGTCGCCTTCGGTTCAAGAGGCAGATCAGGACCACGGACAGGGACCAGACCTTAACATGGATTTGATTTGGATTCAAATAAAAGACAAATAGGATTAATGTAGGCTGCTCTTCAGTTGATTTGATTAAAGGAGTGTTTGGAGTAGAACATTAAGGAGATTGCGTCCCAAAACAACAGAAAAGCAAAGTGCGAATGAGACTTGGGATTGTATTTAAACAGAATATAACCGACTGTGGAAACATTTAAACTGCGAAAAATCTGATATCGTTCATGGTTCACCTGATTTTAACGCCCAGAATCCAGTCAAAAGGTGTTGAAGTATCTGGTTCAGCAGCTTTTAGGGCAAGTCTGGGGAACTAAAGAGGCCCTTTTACTCACAAGTTTGGACACCCCTGTGGCTGCAGAACTAAAAAAGGTCTCTTTATGATTCACAAATTATTAACGGCAAAACAAGGAATAAAACCAGGATTTCTATCTTTGTGAAAAAGGTGTTGGTTATAGATTCGTTGTTGACAAAACTCTTGTCTATTCAGCTGTTATGGTCCCAGCTGGATTCGTCTGCATATCTGGCAACCTGAGTCAGGGAGAGTGGGAGAGGCTGCAGTACCACTTTTGGCCACATTTTTAACAAACTGCACTTTTAGCTTCAGTCGCAGTAGATTTGTACGAACCCCACTAAGCTCGGACCTCTCTCCTTCACGCCGCTGCTGTGTCCTTGAGCAAGACTGTCCTCTGGCTGCGCTGTCTGATCTGCCAGGACGCTATATTTAGAACGGTGGTGAAAAGCCTAAAAAAATGTCAAGTTTAAGCAAAGGTTTTGTCCCAAATGTTCAGACAGAGTTAAGTGGAGTGTGGCCTCATTACGATCGGAGGCGGGATCAGTGGCGCTCAAATTAGGACTAAAAACACAAAGTTATCGCCAGAAATTTGTCATAATTTAGATCGGCTTCTGTGAAAAAGAGAGGACTAGCTTTCATTAAGTCTGTCTCTCAGCCCAAAGAGTCAAATAGTGACTTCCTGGGCTTTTTATTAATAGCATACACAGGATATGTACTGTATATAACTCTGCACTACACATATTTTATTCTTTTGAAAGACTGGTTCACAGCTACAGTAGCTAAGAAACATTGCAACTACTTATATTGTATATTCTGTGTGTCCCTGTGTCTCTTACTACTGTCCTGACTGTGCGCTGCAACAATGGAATTCCCCCACTGTGGGAGAAGTAAAGTATCTATTATCTTATCTTATAGTGTGTGAGATTTTAGTAAGCAGCGGGTTAGTGTTAACCGGACGGAAAGAGCCAAAATGCCTGGTTGATTGACGCTGCTACAATATCCATGTTTTGATTGATTAATTGATTGATTGGGTTTTTTCATTTGAGAAGAAGTTTTACATTCTTAAGTATTTACAATATTTAAGTTCCTACGTTTATGGAGAAAAAAATAAAAAAACGTACTGACTCCAACTCCATGAACATCATTTAAATTGGGGCCGTACCTTGTGTCCTTAGGCAAGACACTTCCCCCACATTAGAATGAGTCTGGTGTGTGTGTGAATGGTTGGTAGTGGTGGGAGAGGCCGATGGCACAGACTGGTTTACTCGCTTCTGTCAGTGTGCCCCAGGGCAGCTGTGGCTACAGTAGTAGTTTTTCATCACTGTGTTTGGAGAGAATTAATATCGACATGTGAAGCGTCTTTGAGTTGCCAGTCTCAGACACAAGAAGCCACAGCCCACAGCAGCAGACCAACCCTGTCCGTCTATTTGGGAATCTCTGGAGTCTGTAAATCTGCTCAAACATGCTTCAATCCTTCTAAAAACAAATCTGAGAAAACCACGAGGACATCCATCACCACACGACCAGACGCTGTATTTATCTTTAAAATAATAATATTCTCTGATATGTCCTCTCTAGAATACCTATATTGAACGTGATTTGGTCGGTCTGAAGACCTGCTGCTGTGTTTCTGTGTAACTGATTCAGAGTTATGGAGGAAAATGTCCTCCATAAAAGTCTAATGTCTCTGAGCGACCGATGCAGAAGAGACGAGGACGAAGAGCAGCGAAGACTCGGAAACTGTGGAAGGAATGTATGAAATGAGTTTGACAGATTTTTATTTTGAACTAGTTGTATGTGATACTAAAGCGATTAAATGAGGATTTTTGGTTTTATAGAGAAAGACTATTCAGAAGTGATAAGTATGTTTCATTCTGACTGACAGGACAGAGGCAAATGATAATGTTTTAAAACAGCAGAGAATTGTATGAAAGTAACGGATACATGAACAAAAGCATTTGTTATCTGTTGAAAGGCGAAACTGCTGCGATGATGTCACACATGGCTCAGTGTTGTGGAGGTTGAACTCATTTGTGAGAACTTTAAGTCTGAGAAATGCACCAAAACCACTGAGAACATCTGTAAACTGGACTAAACCACAGCAAAGGCAAAGACGGTGTTCAGCTGCAGCCGCACTCTCCCGAACTCTCCGAGGCGCTTTTCTTTGGTCAAAGTCCTTCTTTTCCACATACATTATGAAATCCCCACTTCCCCTTCATCCTCACATCCTCATCATCGGCAGAGAACAACACATTAAAGTGCGTTTGCAGGAGCCGTGTTGTTTCACCGAGCGCTTGTTTTTATATTAAGAGCCGTATTGAATTTGAAAGGATCGATACAAACTCGCTTCTGTTTGTTCGGACACGTCTGAGCGTGAAATGTGACGTCTTTTCATGGATTTAAAAGATTTCTGACATTGTTTTAATGCAGCTGCAGCCGCCGACAACACACCACAAAAACAACGCAATGTTTGTGTTGTCTGATTTTCACAATCGCCATGGGAACAGTTCAGTGACTTCACATCTCGTTGTGTTTTTTTAGTAAGATATTGTTTACGTAAGAAGTGTGGAGCGGAAAATAATAATGTATGGAGTCATGGTTTAAAGGGCCCTAATCGGTCGTCATTAAAGGGCCCTAATCTGTCATCATTAAAGGGCTCTTATCTGTCATCATTAAAGGGTCCTAATCTGTCATCATTAAAGGGCTCTAATCTGTCATCATTAAAGGGCCCTAATCTGTCATCATTAAAGGGCTCTAATCTGTCATCATTAAAGGGCCCTAATCTGTCATCATTAAACGGCCCTAATCTGTCATCATTAAAGGGCCCTAATCTGTCATCATTAAAGGGCCCTAATCTGTCATCATTAAAGGGCCCTAATCTGTCGTGATTATAGGGCCCTAATCTGTCATCATTAAAGGGCCCTAATCTGTCGTCATTAAAGGGCCTTAATCTGTAATCATTAAAGGGTTCTTATCTGTCATCATTAAAGGGTCCTAATCTGTCATCATTAAAGGGCCCTAATCTGTCATCATTTAAGGGCCCTAATCTGTCATCATTAAAGGGCCCTAATCTGTCATCATTAAAGGGCCCTAATCTGTCATCATTAAAGGGCTCTTATCTGTCATCATTAAAGGGTCCTAATCTGTCATCATTAAAGGGCTCTAATCTGTCATCATTAAAGGGCCCTAATCTGTCATCATTAAAGGGCTCTAATCTGTCATCATTAAAGGGCCCTAATCTGTCATCATTAAACGGCCCTAATCTGTCATCATTAAAGGGCCCTAATCTGTCATCATTAAAGGGCCCTAATCTGTCATCATTAAAGGGCCCTAATCTGTCGTGATTATAGGGCCCTAATCTGTCATCATTAAAGGGCCCTAATCTGTCGTCATTAAAGGGCCTTAATCTGTAATCATTAAAGGGTTCTTATCTGTCATCATTAAAGGGTTCTAATCTGTCATCATTAAAGGGCCCTAATCTGTCATCATTTAAGGGCCCTAATCTGTCATCATTAAAGGGCCCTAATCTGTCATCATTAAAGGGCCCTAATCCGTCATCATTAAAGGGCCCTAATCTGTCATCATTAAAGGGCCCTAATCTGTCATCATTAAAGGGCCCTAATCTGTCGTGATTATAGGGCCCTAATCTGTCATCATTAAAGGGCCCTAATCTGTCGTCATTAAAGGGCCTTAATCTGTAATCATTAAAGGGCTCTTATCTGTCATCATTAAAGGGTCCTAATCTGTCATCATTAAAGGGCCCTAATCTGTCATCATTTAAGGGCCCTAATCTGTCATCATTAAAGGGCCCTAATCTGTCATAACAATAAACTGCTCTTTTCCAATACTTCTTTAACTGATAACAGTAGTTCAGAGATATTTGAATTTCTAAATTACTTTTCCAGCCTCTAAATCTTGTTATTGTTTTCATTTCGATGTCCCGCCCTCCACCGTTTCACCAATCAGAAAGATCAGCATTTTACTTTGGACCAGAGCAATGAAAATGGTCCAAACCAGTCCATCTATCTTCTTAAAAAAATGTCAGAGAAGAAGCCTGTCTCACATTTTCAGGTAGATTGTCCCAGATTGCAGCTGCATGAATCTTTTACTCTTGGTTTGATCTTGCTTGTACTAATTCTCCATCTCTCACAGGCTTTTACTCTTACACAGAGCAAACCGCTTCAGCAGATAACTGTATATAAATAAATATAAATATAGATTGTGAAAAATACATCCTTTCTTCCCTCTCCCAGTTGTCAAAGCACATCCCTATGGAGCCACTGTAGCCTGGTCTGAACTCTGGTCCATGATCATCTCCTACATGTACGTCTGGTCTTACCATGTGTAAACTCTGGTCCATGATCATTTCCTACATGTACGTCTGGGTCTGATCCTAGTGGCTGCAGTTTCCTCGGTTGAATCTCCTCCGACCAATCAGAGAGTGGGGGAGGCGGGGGTTGTAGGTCGGTGTCGGTGACGTCAAGAGTTTGTGCTGAATTTGCTGGTTGTAGTTTGTCGGAGAATGTGATAGTAAAATAATCTGTTCTGGTTCAATCCAAATATCAAGAAACTGAAGCCGGAGCAAGAGGAATGTTTAGTAAATGTCATTGAAGCAAAGATGTTGTGGCTCTACTCCCCACGGGCTCCGTTAGTGGCAAAGGAGATGGCTAAAGCTAGGCTAAATGCTAAAGCTAGCAACACACTCGGGCTCATTACATACGTGACAGTAAACTCAGATCCAATCTGCAAAAGGAGTTAACCCCTCCCACCTGTTATTTAATGGAGTCAATGCAGCAAATCCAGACTTTAGTACCAAATAAAATGAGTACTATGGTGTGGTAAGACCAGGCTAGAGCCACCGTAGATTATTCAAAAAGAGTTCATTTCTTTTTGCTCATGAATCGCCCCCATTCAGTTTTCAACAGTGAAACTTCAGGGATATTTGTATAACTGTATAAAACTGGGGAATTATGAGTATTTTCCTTTTGGCGCAGTTAGAGGAGCAGACTGGCGCTCTCAGACGAACACAAGCTAACGTTATTAAACCTTGATTTATTGCATTACTCCGGGTCTCTGCGGAGCGCCTTGTTTATCCGCCTTGAGGGAATCTCCGGATGTAGAGATGAATTTTATCGGCGAGCTGTCAATAAGAAACCTTTCCATTATACAGTAGTTTACCCCAGTGATCTGCCCCCACTTCATCAGCAGTCAATCAAAGCCGCTTTATGCATATAGCCCCACTTCGCTTTTCCGCCAACACCGTTTGGAAAGACCCCAGACGGCAAACAGGCAGCCGCCATTACGCATTCATGTAGGCAGCTTCCTGACGGCGGAGGCGCTTGTTCTGCCTGTGTCAGTCAATCACAGGCGGGACGTTTCTTTATTACAGAAGAAGAAGAAGAAGGGAGGAAGACCATCTGTGCAATTACAGCGCCCGGATCAGGGGACAATCAGAGCAATTAGGGCGACGGACGGCTGTGTTTACAGAAGAAGGAGAAGGAGAAGGAGAAGGAGAAGGAGAAGGAGAAGGAGGAGGAGAAGGAAGAGGAGAAGGAGAAGGAGGAGGAGAAGGAAGAGGAAAAGGAGAAGAAGGAGAGGATGGAGAAGAAGAAGGAGACGGAGGAGAAGGAGAAGAAGGAGAAGGAGAAGAAGTCCGACTCCTGCCACCAAAGGGGAGGGATACTTTTTTTGTTTTTTTGTTTAGAAAATTACAAGTTGTCACTGTATGTAGCTAGATACAATGTCTATCATGTAAGTGTAGACATTACTAAAACAAATTCATAAACAATATGTTTGTTTTAAAAGACAAGAAACTGAGCTCTATTCTCACTCTGGTCTCTCTCTTTCTGGTATCTGTCTGGTTTCTCTTTCTGGTCTCTCTCTAGTCTCTCTCTGGTCTCTCTCTAGTCTCTCTCTGGTCTCTCTCTAGTCTCTCTCTGGTCTCTCTGGTCTCTCTCTGGTTTCTCTCTGGTCTCTCTCTAGTCTCTCTCTAGTCTCTCTCTGGTCTCTCTGGTCTCTCTCTGGTTTCTCTCTGGTCTCTCTCTAGTCTCTCTCAGGTCTCTCTCTGGTCTCTCTCTGGTCTCTCTCTAGTCTCTCTCTGGTCTCTCTGGTCTCTCTCTGGTTTCTCTCTGGTCTCTCTCTAGTCTCTCTCCGGTCTCTCTGGTCTCTCTCTGGTCTCTCTCTAGTCTCTGTCTGGTCTCTCTGGTCTCTCTCTGATCTCTCTGGTCTCTCTCTCTGGTCTCTCTCTGGTCTCTCTCTGATCTCTCTGGTCTCTCTCTAGTCTCTCTCTGGTCTCTCTCTAGTCTCTCTCTGGTCTCTCTCTGGTCTCTCTGGTCTCTCTCTGGTCTCTCTGGTCTCTCTCTAGTCTCTCTCTGGTCTCTCTCTAGTCTCTCTCTGGTCTCTCTCTGGTCTCTCTGGTCTCTCTCTGGTCTCTCTCTGGTCTCTCTCTAGTCTCTCTCTAGTCTCTCTCTGGTCTCTCTGGTCTCTCTCTGGTTTCTCTCTGGTCTCTCTCTAGTCTCTCTCCGGTCTCTCTGGTCTCTCTCTGGTCTCTCTCTAGTCTCTGTCTGGTCTCTCTGGTCTCTCTCTGATCTCTCTGGTCTCTCTCTCTGGTCTCTCTCTGGTCTCTCTCTGGTCTCTCTCTGATCTCTCTGGTCTCTCTCTAGTCTCTCTCTGGTCTCTCTCTAGTCTCTCTCTGGTCTCTCTCTGGTCTCTCTGGTCTCTCTCTGGTCTCTCTGGTCTCTCTCTAGTCTCTCTCTGGTCTCTCTCTAGTCTCTCTCTGGTCTCTCTCTGGTCTCTCTGGTCTCTCTCTGGTCTCTCTCTGGTCTCTCTCTAGTCTCTCTCTGGTCTCTCTCTGGTCTCTCTGGTCTCTCTCTGGTCTCTCTGGTCTCTCTCTAGTCTCTCTCTGGTCCCTCTCTAGTCTCTCTCTGGTCTCTCTCTGGTCTCTCTCTGGTCTCTCTCTAGTCTCTCTCTGGTCTCTCTCTGGTCTCTCTCTGGTCTCTCTCTGGTCTCTCTTTGGTCTCTCTCTGATCTCTCTCTGGTCTCTCTCTGGTCTCTCTCTGGTCTCTCTCTGGTCTCTCTGATAGTACACGGACAGTACTCAAGAAAAAAGACAGTCAGACCATTAGGCATTTGTCCTGATACAAATTTGAAAAACAAAATAAACAAATGACTAAACAACTTGACATTCCAAATCCTGAAACGCCAAAGTAACTCTTCTCCGGACCACATTTGAGAAAGAGAAAAGTCTTCCTTAAAGCCTCCTCTTTAGTGACTCCCATCTCTGCGTTCCCAACCCCTCAGCCGAGCTCCCAACGAAGACGGATGGAGGTAAATAATTCATTCCCTGCGCATATTTTTCCCTGTGTCAAATTACCTATCATTTATATCACAGTGGTTGGCAACCGCCCGTAGCGCCCGGAGAAACACATCCATCCGACACTCCACGCCCGCCTTTATTACTGTGATCAAGCTCTGCCACCAACATGTATTTTATTATTCATTTAGATCGCGCTGTGACAGATCTGATCGCGCTCATTTGCTGCAACTCTTTGTGCAACCTCAGCCCAACGTTGCGACACTTACAGAACCTCCCCTGCCTCCGCCTCGCCCTGTGCGAGTCAGTAAGACGTAGGGAGCCATGTTTATTTATGTAGCGCGTTTTACAGGTCACCCCCAAAGCGCTTCACAACTGAGAGTTTAGATATCTTTCTCTCCGTGCGGTGATGACAGGAGCGAGACCCCTGCATTCAGACCTATTGTGTGTGTTTTTAGCGGTAGGGGAAACCGGAGCACCTGGAGGAAACCTACGCAGACACGGGGAGAATATGCAAACTCCACATCGAAAGGCCTGGAGGAGGATATGAAGGTTCTGTTTGAAAAGGTTTTTGTGAGTTGTTTTTTTCTTGTTCTTTTTTTTTTTACCAGTGCTGTAATCGTGGATAATTGTTGCCATGAAATTGGATTTTAAATCTCTTTTGTGAGTTTTATACAAATAAACTTGCCTCGCCAATGGTCCACGTGCAAACTCATCGCCAGGAGACAGAAGGAGTCACAGTAAAAAGTTATTATTCTTGTGAAAATGCCAAAAGTTATTGACATTTTCATGAGTATTGACTAAAGAATGTCAATAATCAGGATATCCAGCCTCAGTCCTGGATCCACCGCCTCAGTCCTGGATCTACAGCCTCAGTCCTGGGTCTACAGCCTCAGTCCTGGGTCTACAGCCTCAGTCCTGGGTCTACATTCTCAGTCCTGGGTCTACATTCTCAGTCCTGGGTCTACATTCTCAGTCCTGGGTCTACAGCCTCAGTCCTGGATCTACAGCCTCAGTCCTGGGTCTACATTCTCAGTCCTGGGTCTACAGCCTCAGTCCTGGATCCACAGCCTCAGTCCTGGGTCTACATTCTCAGTCCTGGGTCTACAGCCTCAGTCCTGGGTCTAATTTGCTGTTGACAAAACTCTTGTCTATTCAGCTGTTATGGTCCCAGCTGGATTCGTCTGCATATCTGGCAACCTGAGTCAGGGAGAGTGGGAGAGGCTGCAGTACCACTTTTGACCACACGTTTACACACTGCTTCTTTTAGGCTCAGTCAGAATGTGCTCAAATTAAGACACATTTTTTCAGCGATGCTTTTCTTATTTCCCATCCTTTTTTTACAGTGTACATACCATAAAACATGTCCAGCGAGAGACTTCCTCACATGCTAATTAGCGTGTGAACCGTTGCCGCAGAAGTCTATCCAGGAGCCACGGCGTTGCTTTGTTGTTGCATCAGGAGCGCGCCGCTGTGCGTGTGGGCTGTTTATTCATTCATTTATGTAGGAGCCGCTCTGATCCCACTTCACACAGAATACAGACTGCGCTCTCCCCTTGTTTTTGGAGAGAGAGAGAGGGAGAGGGAGAAAGAGAAAGAGAGAGAGAGCGGCAGGTGCTGCTGCGGCCGCAATCAAAAAGGACGTAAATGCGAGACGTGAGCGAGAGGTTAGGAAAGAGTGCGGCCTCAGAAATAATGGAACAAAGGCGCGTGACAGGCGGCTACGAGGCCGAGACATGTGGCGTACGCTGCAAACCGCATGGAAACTTTTCTGACATCACAAACTCTCACTTTTGCAAAGCAGAGGAGAGGGTATTTAAAGAGCCAGCCTCAGTCCTGGGTCTACAGCCTCAGTCCTGGGTCTACAGCCTCAGTCCTGGGTCTACAGCCTCAGTCCTGGGTCTACAGCCTCAGTCCTGGGTCTACAGCCTCAGTCCTGGATCTACGGCCTCAGTCCTGGATCTACAGCCTCTGTCCTGGGTCTACAGCCTCAGTCCTGGGTCTACAGCCTCAGTCCTGGGTCTAAAGCCTCAGTCCTGGGTCTAAAGCCTCAGTCCTGGGTCTACAGCCTCAGTCCTGGATCTACAGCCTCAGTCCTGGGTCTACACCCTCAGTCCTGGGTCTACAGCCTCAGTCCTGGGTCTACAGCCTCAGTCCTGGGTCTACGGCCTCAGTCCTGGGTCTACAGCCTCAGTCCTGGGTCTACGGCCTCAGTCCTGGGTCTACGGCCTCAGTCCTGGGTCTACGGCCTCAGTCCTGGGTCTACGGCCTCAGTCCTGGGTCTACGGCCTCAGTCCTGGGTCTACGGCCTCAGTCCTGGGTCTACGGCCTCAGTCCTGGGTCTACAGCCTCAGTCCTGGGTCTACGGCCTCAGTCCTGGGTCTACAGCCTCAGTCCTGGGTCTACGGCCTCAGTCCTGGGTCTACGGCCTCAGTCCTGGGTCTACGGCCTCAGTCCTGGGTCTACGGCCTCAGTCCTGGGTCTACGGCCTCAGTCCTGGGTCTACGGCCTCAGTCCTGGGTCTACGGCCTCAGTCCTGGGTCTACAGCCTCAGTAGGTTGGACTACTGTAACAGGCTGTACATTCAAAACGCTGCTGCTCTCTTTCTCTCTCTCTATCTCTCTCTCTCCCCCTCTGTCTCTTTATCTACCTCTCTCTCTAAATATCTCTCTCTTTCCAGCACAAAGACAGATTGTCAATCTCGTCTTCATCTCGCCTGCTCTCACTCCACCTGTCACTGGGCGCTGTGGGACCTGCAGCCTCAGTGCATCTGCTCAGCACTGCCCCCGGTGTCCAGGGGGCTCATGTGCGATTATGAAACTGATCTCACTGCACGAGAACCAGCTGCTCGTTCTCCACGTGTCAGATGCTCTCGCTCCATCTGACACTAATCACAAAGAAATATATCATTATGAGTTCTCTGACACTGGAGCGTGTTTGATTGTACACACATGCTTTCATTTAGGAATAATAATAATAATAATCCTAATAATTCAGTTTTATATAGCGCTTTTCTGGACACTCAAAGTCTCTTCACGTCATTATTCTTTCACTACAAACACAGTGGGGATAAACTACTACTGTAGCCACAGCTGCCCTGGGGCACACTGACAGAAGCGAGGCAACCAGTCTGTGCCATCGGCCCCTCCCACCACCACCAACCATTCACACACACCAGACTCATTCTAATGTGGGGGAAGTGTCTTGCCTAAGGACACAACCACAGTTTGGCACTTTACAGCCGCCCCACTGTGGCACCTGCTGTTCCCCGAGGTCTCCCATCACAGCACTAACCAGGGCCTGCCCGGCTTAGCTCCACACCACATTTCCAACCACTATAAAAGCTTTTATTGACATGATTGAACTCTTTAGTTTTCAGAATTTCAACTTCAATTTCAGCACTTAACACAAGACCAGAAAAAAATAATAAAAATCACAGAAACGCACTGCGCTCGTTCATTTCAATGGGACGCTTTCAGAGCGACGTCGTGTTCAAACACCAGGGACGTTAGCGCTACATCCAGAGCTACAGTCAGAGTCAATGAGTCAAGATTAAAAATAGCAGATTCAAGATTTTGAAAAAACAACATCAGGTTAAGATAAATAAAAAAAACATCTGATAAAAACCTCAGATTAAGATTTATAAACCTTAGATTAAGATTAAGATTAAAACAAAACTCAGACTAAGATTAATAAACATCAGATTAAGATTAATAAACCTCAGAATAAGATTAAAATAACAATTGTAAACCGCTTTGTGACTCTGGTCTGTGAAAGGCTGTATATAAATAAAGATTACATTCTTAAATTAAATATGTAAGATTAAGATTAAATAGCCTCAGATTACGATTAAAATACCTCAGATTAAGATTAAAAAACCTCAAGATTTAAAAACCTCAGATTCAGATTTAGAAACCTCAAATTAAGATTAAAAACCTCAGATTAAGATAAAACAAACTCATTTTGAGATTAAAAACATCATTTTTGCCGAGCCGTTGCTGTAGAGCTCTTTTAAAGAAGCTCCTCGTCTTTCGCTGCTGTTTTTTTTATTTACATTTGTCGCCGGCGCTCGACACATTTCCACAATTCCACAAAACTTAATCAATTTTCACGGGTCTTTGTTCCGAAGTCAGCGTTTTTCCCTCCGCGGCTTCACTCCGGCTTCCACTTTAATGTGCAAACTAAATCCTGACTTGTGCTTTTGTTCGTCTTATCTTCGGGGCATTGGAGCCACTTCTTTGTTTTATTCAAAGTGTTTGGAAACCACCCACACGCCGCTGCAGCCGCACTGGCTCTCTGCACTATCACATTTACCAGGAACAGATGGAGATGAAGTTTACGGCGAGATGTCATGAAAATGCAGAGATTACGCAAGATTTAGGGCAAAACTTAGATTAATACTGAATTGTTTTGGCTCCGCCCATGTCCGTGATTATGACATCAGAAACGTCCCCCCGTCCCTTCTGTTGGAATCGTTCTGTTTCTAACTCCTACTGGCTAACCCTTTAACACGGCTTTTACTGTAACATGCATTTTCTATAGATCTAAAGCAGGACTAAAGCAGGACTGAAGCGGGTCTAAAGCAGGACTAAAGCAGGACTGAAGCGGGTCTAAAGCAGGACTAAAGTGGGTCTAAAGCAGGACTAAAGCAGGTCTAAATTAGGTCTAAATGATTGAATCCAGATCTAAAGCAGGTCTAAAGTAGGACCAAAGCAAATCTAAAGCAGGACTAAAGCAGGACTAAAGCAAGACTAAAGCAGGTCTAAAGCAGGTCTAAAGCAGAGACTAAAGCAGGTCTAAAGCAGGTCTAAAGCAGGACTAAAGCAGGTCTAAAGCAGGACTAAAGCAGGTCTAAAGCAGGACTAAAGCAGGACTAAAGCAGGTCTAAAGCAGGTCTAAAGCAGGACTAAAGCAGACCTAAAGCAGGTCTAAAGCAGGTCTAAAGCAGACCTAAAGCAGGACTAAAGCAGACCTAAAGTAGATCTAAAGCAGGTCTAAAGCAGGACTAAGGCAGACCTAAAGCAGGTCTAAAGCAGACCTACGCAGGACTAAAGCAGACCTAAAGTAGGTCTAAAGCAAGACCAAAGCAGGTCTAATGTAGGACTAAAGCAGGACTAAAGCAGGACTAATCCAGAACTAAAACACCTCTGAACAAAAACTTTAATCAGTCTTGAGACACCACTGAAATAAGCCCCTTGACTTTGCACACCATACATGTTATTTTTGCATGTTCTCCCCGTGTCTCCTGGACATACTTAACCCCAGGGGCCTCGAGCCAAACACATACAACAACAGCTTATTTTTGGACAACACAAGTTTACCTTAACCTTTGATCACCAATCTGCTTTCATTCCGTTCCATCTCCGGCAGGATCCGTCTCTCTCTGCTTCGGGAGCTTTTTTATTCCGCTCAGAAAGCCCGAAGCCTGGGGGAAATCAAAGTAAGCATTTTTCTCTTTCCAAAGCAGCACATTTAATAGGTACAACGCCACTCAAGCATTCAAGCCTGTCCTTTGGTCTGTGAAGGCATATCATGGCCCGGGCGCCACCGGGCTCCACGAGGTATTACATAAATTCAGCTTTATTTATCCTGTATCTGGCAGCGAACGAAAGGGCATAAAGAAAAAAGACCGAGGCAGCCCAACACAACATCCAACTATGCCACGTAAAACCTCTTTCCATTACTGTGTTTTTAACAAGGCAAACTCAGCGGGAACAGGTTTTGGCGCGGCGAAAGGTTAGACACGGAGGGCTGTTGCTGTAAATGAATGTCTCCCAAAAGGTCCAAGGTAACGTGGAGAAAGGCGGAGAAGGAAAGTAAAAATGACACCGTTTCTCAATGAGGGATGTTGTGTCGGGGCGTCGTGGGCGAGAGGTCGAGTCGGAGTCGAGTCACAAATCTGTGGGATTGGAAACGCAGCGTGAGTTTGTTTGTTGTGTGTTTAGTGGGGATGAATTGAAGGCGTCTGGGTTGAAATTGCTGCAGCTGCCGGCTCTAGTTTCTTCAAGATGATGTATGGAAACGAACGCTTGAGAGTTTGTTTTCATAGAGTTAAGTCCTATTCACACGGGGCCGGCGCACTTCTGGTAATTTGTGATGATCCCGGAGGACGTCTGAGATCTTAGTCCTGTTCGAATGCGGCGTGTCTGTGGTTTGTAAAGTCATAAACCGCCGCAAATGCACTAGCCCCAAAATATAAATATAATCAGAATGCTCCATTATTCTCAAAAAGAGTCAGAAAAAAGTGGTGGAAGCACAATGAGAAAAGCGTTAGGTACATATGTTATTTATTATTTTCTGAAGTAGAAAGTCCATGGCCAGACAAGTTTATTTGTATAGCATCGTTCATACACGAGGCAACTCAATGTGCGGAACAAAACAACAGAAATAAAATCCTAAATAATCACAGTGCGTTAAAACGAGTGAAGCTACAGTCCCTCAGTTGTGGCACAGCTGTACAGAACTGTATTTAACGGACAGAGTATCTCGGCCTTTCAAACAAATGGGCTAAAAAATGTGCTCTACTGGAGCTATCCAAAATGGCCGTGAGTGGTCCCGCCCACAAGAAAATTGTGAAAAAACTGCGCATGCGTCAGCCGGCGCAGCTCCATTCATTTAAACAAGTGACTTCAAAAATTCACAACAACTAAACTAGACAAAAACACCCCCCGCAGCTTTGACACACATGTGGAACGGAGCTTTGGGACAAGAGCCAACTTTTGGACCATCCTGTAAAGACCCCAGGATGGTCTTTACCACCCCCATTGGCCCGGGGTGGTACTGCAGCATGTCAGCGCACAACATTTTGGCAACTTTTGAGCCGGGACCCACCCACACTGATTTAACCTGGATTTGGATGTTAATAATATTTATAATAGGGTTTTCAAAGCGCTGAACAGCAAAGCAATAAAAATCATAATACAGGAAATAAAAGCAGACTAACAACAAGGAAGAAAAAACAAAGACAATGTGGAAGTTTAAAATACATGTATAGTTTCAAACAGACAGATATAGGAAGGCAATTTGCTAAAAGTGGGTTTTAAAGAAGTGATTACCAAAAGGATACTGATGGAGCTTAGAGACATTCTCCGTAAGACTGCTAGCCTCACATTTTCTGTAAGACTGCTCCAGACTTTAGCTTCATAAATCTGAAACGCTGCCTCCCCAAGTTTAGACCTGAGTCTGGCCGTGTGACTGTGGCCTCGCTGGTCAGAGGAAGACCAATAGTTGTATTTTGTGTGAATCGCTGTAAAACAACTGTGAGTCTGTAACTAACAAGGAAAACATCTATAGAAAGTGAGAAAAAGTCAATTTTGCCGCGCTAAAAAGCCGCTTTTCTACTCATAAATCCAGGTGTTAGTCTCCCTCTCGGCACAGTCTTGTAGTAATTATTGGCCTTTCTTCCTCTTCTCTCGGCCTCTCGTTCTCGGCCCGACGCCAGTAAATCAAGGACACAATGTGGCTTTGTTTTGCTTTGCTGGTTTCCTCCTCAGCTCCATGAATCACTCTCTATAAGCCGTTCTCATTAGCGTTTAAGTGAGTCGAGCTAAGCGCCGGTGTGATTTAGCGCCGTAGCTTTAAGGACAGGTTACGGCGGCGGTAAAGAACAGATCTGTGCCACACTCGCTGAACTCGCCTGTCCTGGGGCGAGGAGCGCTGCTGCTCGTAATGAAGGACTTGTTTAAAGTGTTTGTATGTGGGGGGGGTGTCCGACCTGTTATCTGTGAGTGCAGGGAGTGGGGGTGTGGGGGTGTGGGGGGGGAGACTATTGGACTTAGAGGTGTTGCAATCCCTCTGTAAAAAAGTCTATTTATCTATGAAAGTGTATTTCTATTCAAATGTAAAAAGCTAATTTTGTCTTCCTATTTTTAAGGGCCACTTTAGT